ATACACCTGTTGTGGCCAGAGAGGCATCTTTGATCTATTGCCCTACTCAAGGGTTGTGGGCAGCTTTAACCATAACCAACTTCTCTCATGCAGCCCTGGGCTAAGGGCCTGTGGGCTGAACTGCAGTGTCTGCCAACGTTGAGGTCTGGGGGTCTAAAAGGTCTAGAATACTCTGTAAGATGTGTAAAGGTAAAGTTGGGTACTAATAACTTTGCATCATTTTTATCTAATAATCCCTAATCGTAGTTAGCATTTCCAACTGATAAAAGTATCAGGTATTTCAAACAGTGGGATGATTAAAGCTATGTTTCATTCCAGTAAGTAGTAGCATTTTTTTGCAAGCCCTTTCCAGTATACTATCCTGCCTAAAGAGATGGCCTTCAAAGGAAGGTGGAAAGTGCTCTTGGGTGGAAGTTGTTTTGTAATAATACTGGGAGGTTTTTTTTCATGAATTTTATTATTTTGTGGAGTGATCTGTTACATCTTCAAGAAAACTGGTAGATGTATATAAAAATATGGCAACTGGTCTAAGAATTTATCACAAATAATAGTTTTTATTTCCAAAAGTACTTGAAAGGACCATGATCAGTATGTAAGCCAATTGTTTGTTCATTCATGCATTTATTTATTTAGCAATTATTTGGATGCCTACTATGTGCCAAACATTGTAGATGATGCTGAGGAAGGAGTGATGAGCAAGAAAAATGGTACTTGCCTCCGTGGAGTTTACAGAACGTAGAGGAGAAAGGCAATAAAATAGCAATTATATGAAAACAAGTATTTATAGACACACAAGTTCTCTAAGCAAGATTTTATTATCGTTACATATCTTGGAAAGCCCAAAGAAAAGCATTTACAAATATTTTTACAGCAATTCTTGAGGATACAATATTACTGTCAACTGCCAGAACAGCCCAAAATTGAGCATAGTAGATTGAAGCATTTAATAAACAGATTTACCACTTTTCCATTTTATTCTCTCCCTAGCAGGCATACTGTGTATTTCCACTATTTCCAAGTTTTCCCAAGTCATGATGTCCTTGACACCCTGAGAGCATTGTGAACAAGTCAGATGACACCATGGGTCCCAGCTCAGAGGCTCACAGTAGCAGGTCACCATGGCTCCCTTTGCCAGCCTGTCCTCATCTGAGCAGTGACTGAAGTACAGCCAAGGCGGGTTGGGGGAGCCCTGCCTGCCAGCCCCCTGCCGACTTGTCGGGGGCAAAAGTTTCCACATCACGGAAAGAAAGAAACTTAGTTGGGGAACATCCCAGAGCTCACAAATTACCCTTTTGCCAACTGAAAAGAAAAAGGTGCTTTCACAGTACTTTATGTGGGAGAGCCTTTGTGTACTTGCTGATGTCTTCATGTGTTTAGAATTTCTCCTTTGATTTTACATGGGCTTAAAGTTCAACCACAACCCACACGCACAGTTGCACTGCCCTCCAGCTCTGCATGACAGTGCAATCAATTGCTATAGAGAGGGACCGGTTTTTGTCTTCTCATTTACTTTTAGTGTGAAAAGTCATTATGTTGAATTAAAAACACTGAAACGTTGTAATTACAGGGAGAAGAGCTTGGTTCAGAACACCTTTTTTCTTATTAACATAAGGAGGTCAAAATTACATAAGCCAGACGTGTTTAGTCTTCTACACCAACATTCTAATGTGTCAAACTGAAGCTTTCAGCATACTCTTGAGAACTAGAACCTGATGTTTGAGGATTTCGAGTTTATGAAGTTACAGCACTAATGATAACAAGGCGTCTAGCAAGCAGGAATTAAGAAAACCAGAGAAAAAGACCATGGCAGGCTCATCTCCATAAGCAGGGTAGGCCACCAAAATTAGACATCAGATTAGTCTCATTTTTTTTATTTCAAGCATTTTTTCTACTTTAATATGAAAAATTTTAAGAAGATACCGAGAAGATAAGTAGAAGGACACAGCAAAAGATAAATGCATATACCTTCACAACACTACTGTGAAGATTGCTTGGTACCATGAAAAGAAAGTAGCATTAGAGCTAGTCAGACCTGAATTCAGATCCTGCTCTGCTATGCCTTAGCTGTGTAGCCTTGAGTGAGTCACTTAACCTCTCTGAGCCTCATTTTTCTCATTGTAATATAAATGTGGGATATAATACAGAGTAGTTTTAAGATTAGATTACATATGATTAAAATATACCTTGCACATGATAGGAATGTAGTACGTGCCAGTTGCTGGGGTAGCTGCTGCTGTCATTATTAAAGCTAGAGGGTGTCTATACAAAAGGGAAAAGCAAGAATGTTATCCATATGGGAGAAACCAAGCCAGATTATGTGGCCAGAGATTTGGATACCCCCTGATTGGTTCCATCTATTTGAAATAAAGAAGTCACTATTCATTTCTCATTTGTTTTCAAATGCAAGCAGGCAGCTTCATAATTTACAGTCATTGTGCATAGTTTTTATTGAACTCATTAAGA